GCAAATGAACTAGATATTGGCATATGTGCCTTATTTCCACTAACCATTTATGTTTCATCTCTCTTTGAATGTCTCCTTCAAAACAATTTATTTGAAGACATAAGACTTGTAGGAAGTGCAATTGAGCTGTTTTATTTTCTAAAAAGACAAGGCAATAGGTCACACTTAGAACAACACTTCCATTTGAAAGGTGAAAATACCAGACAAAATTAAAAATTTAAGACCCTATAACATTGTTTAGTTTATATCTTTAAAGTATTTTTAAGATCTCATTAATATTAGTGGCCTTTAATTTTTTATATATTTTTATTGATTTCAGAGAGGAAGGGAGAAGGAGAGAGAGAGATCGAAACATCAATGATGAGAGAGAATCATTGATTGGCTGCCTCCTGCACGCCCCCTACTGGGGATGGAGCCCACACCGAGGTATGTGCCCTTGACCGGAATCAAGCCTGGAACCCTTCAGTCCGCAGGCTGACATTCTTATCCACTGAGCCACACTGGCTAGGGCTATTATTATTAGCGATCTTTAAAATGACAATATATATTTCAGTGATCTTTACTATGGTCGATTATATGATTATTTTTACTATTACTATTTTAATTAAAATCAAACTACTACTTGGTGATTCTGCCTTGTAACAAGTTATGTTACTTAATATCTACTCACTTAATACTTAGGTATGTAGGTCATCTGGATGACCTATGAAAAATTCCACGTGTTTAATGTCTTCAATACATTTTTGTCAAAAGGAGGGGGGAAGGGAACAGAGGGATTGAAGCACGTTGTTCTGTGTACATTTATTCAAAGCATCAACCTTCATTTACAAGTCTTTAAATTAATTTACCATTTCTGTATTTACTATCCTACACCTAATTATTTATCAGTCATAATTTGTTTTTCAAGTTATATCTATGGGAAATATTTGAATTAAGAAAAATAATCCATCCTCAAAGAATTTCTAATAGCTGGAAAGTATCAAAAATAAAAACAAAATATACCCCACCCTCTGCTTAGACCTTCATACTTCCTAACTCTAGATCTATCTTCTCTTGCCCTTTCTTCTCCACTAGCCTGAATTCGTAACTTACAACTCAGTAGAATGGACAGAAGGGGCTGGAAAGTAATGAATGTTGTCATAGCTTATAGTTAATATCCCACAAACTGTAATGTATAAGACACACATGTTTTGTTGATATTTATATCCATTTTTAAATACTGGATATTATTTTTCTTTATGGAACTAAATAGATATATTTTAAATAGATGTGTATTAGAATTTAGATTTATTTATATTGTTTGCTTTTCTTCTTAAAGGCCCACCAGGAACCAAAATTCAGATCACTGGATCAAATTTTGGTATTGATATCTTGGAAATTTCAGTGGTTATAAATAATATTCAGTGTAATGTAACCATGGTCAGTGACAGTGTATTGCAATGCATCGTTGGAGATCACGCTGGTGGCACGTTTCCTGTTATGATGCATCATGCGACAAAAGGCTCTGCTGTGTCCACGCTTGTATTTGAGTATCCACTTACCATTCACAATATTCAGCCGACCCAAGGTAATCATGAGTGTGCGAAACCTACACATATTTTATATTATTTCAGTAAATGCCTTATTTAGGGGGAAAAGCACTCTTCAAAAATTTGTAGTTCTTTTAACATGTTAAAAATATATTTTTTATGCATAAAATAAATAAGCATGCAAAGGCATCAGTCATTTCAAAATATCAGTTTAATGCCTATATTTCTCCTAGTGCTATATAACTTATTTAAAAGTCAACCCTAATTAAAATGGCCAGGTTACATGTGGGAATTTCTTTTAAAATCATATTTAGATATCACTGGCCTGTAACTATTTACATAAATATTCTATTCAAAAATTATTTTAGTTCAAAAACCTTATGAAAGTATAAACAATGTAGTCTTAATTAAAATAGTAATTTTACATGCATGTGTTTATTGCTCTGAAATTCTTTGTGACATCTCTTTTAAAAAGATTTTCGTTTTCAGTAGTTTAAATAAATGACCAGATGTGACCTTTACTCAGTGAAGATTTAAAACATTTTAATAGAAAGAGATTCTATTGCATTAACAGACTATATTATAATTTCACGTATGAAAATCTTTAATATCAGTTCTATTTCAGATGTTAAACTAAGGTTAAATATATACATATAATAGAAGAGGTTTTCTTTTCACCAGCTTTGTTTTTCCCTGTTTTGTCTTCACTAGGGAGCTTCGGTGGTGGTCAGACGATGACTGTGACAGGCACCGGGTTTAATCCACAAAATTCCGAAATATTAGTGTGTGGCTCAGAATGTGCAGTTGATAGGCTTAAATCTGATTATACAACATTGTTATGTGAAATTCCACCTAATAATGGTAAGTTGTCACAAAAAAGAATGGCAGTCTTTGAGAAATGCTTAATTTTATAAAGATCAGAGACTGGGTTTCTTTTTTCTCCAAGTTTTTGTGTCTTTGGAGCAATTGAATCATCTTTATAACTGTCCTGATTTTAAGCAATTTCTTCAGAATTTTCTTGACATTTATGTGTTTCAAGATTCATATCATTTGGGTTAATTGAATTGTTTATCATAAATTGCAGTATTTCAGTTTATCGCCTAAAGTGATGGCTCTTGGTTTAATAAGCTTGCCAAATGGAGAAGACATGTTTCGTTCCCACTGGAGATTTCCCTTGAAGATGAGACAGTGTAATGGTTATGAGTGTGAACTCTTGTACTGCGTTGCCAAGAGGCAAACCCAAGCTGTGTCTTTGAGCAAGTTATTCAGCCTCATGCTGCCTCAGTTTCTTCGTCTGTAAAGTGAGACCAACACATTAGCTTACTTTATAGTATTATTGTGAGGTTTAACAAGTTAATGTATGTAAAGTGGACAGATTGATACTGGAAACATGTTCTGTAATTTTCTAATATGACTCTTTCTTAAAACTTTAGTTAACAGTTAAGAACTGGACTCTGAGGAGCCCCCAACATCTCAGTTTGCCACTTACTGTGTTACCTTAGCTAAGTAACTCCACTCCTCTCTGCTTCTGTTTGTTCACCAATTAAATGGAGATATTGTTAACCCCAATTCAATAGGTTATTGTAAAGTTTAAACACCCGGTATTTTACATACACAACAATTTTATTTTATTTATTTTTTGTAAATATATTTTATTCAGTTTTTACAGAGAGGAAAGGAGAGAGAGAGAGAGTTAGAAACATCGATGAGAGAGAAACATCGATCAGCTGCCTCCTGCACACTCCCCACTGGGGATGTGCCCGCAACCAAGGTACATGCCCTTGACCGGAATCAAACCTGGGACCTTTCAGTCCGCAGGCTGACGCTCTATCCACTGAGCCAAACCAGTTTCGGCCACAACAATTTTAAATTATCTAACAAAATTTAAGAGGAACCAAAGGAAGTATTCTAAAATAAAGTATATGTGTTATGTGCTAACATTTTTTAAACATTAACAAAATTTGATGAAGCTTTTCTAAACATTTTGGTATCTTTCTCTGAATTCTTTAACAAAGAATATGTAAGACAATGTAATATTTTGGTGACCGGGCTTATTTATCATTTCAACATCAGAGTTTGTATCCTGAATTTTTCAGTGCAACACTGTCGAGATTTAGCAAGGTCTTCAGAATGCTTGTCTTAACACCAGCTCTTCTTTTTACGTTTTTGGATGGGTTTCTGTAGTTTTTCTGTCTCTCACCTTGCCTTCAGCTGTCTCTCCTTGCTTGTCAGAGTGCCTGCCCTTAGCAGTTCTTCCTTCCTGCTCCGATTTGCCACGTTGGCTCCTCTAGGACTGGAACACTAAACAGGCAGGTTTGTCGAGCTGTCCCCAGTGAGCGGCTCCCGTGGAGGGCCTGACGGCTTTTCCCTTTGCTAATGTGTGTGAACCTCGGGATGTTTTTGGCAATTGCTGTAGATATTTATTACTTCACACATAGCCTGTGAGATTGATTTAGGGAAAAGGAAGATGATATTGGAAATGTTTGATTCAGAATGGCTGTCATCAGTAAATCCAAGGTGTTGGCAAGGATGTGGACAAAATGGGAACCCTTGTGCACTGTTGGTAGGAATGCAGAATGGCACAGCCACCCTGGAAAACAGTATGATGGTTCCTCAAAAATTAGAAATGAAATGTCTTATGACCCAGTGATTATACTTCTGGGTATATATCTGAAGAAACCCAAGACATTCATTAGAAAGAATACGTGCACGCCTGTGTTTCATTGTAGTGTTGTTTACAATAGCCAATGTGCTATTACAACCAATGTGCGTATCAATAGACAAGTGGATAAAAAAAAAAACCCACAGTGGTGCCTATATACAATGGAATATTACTTGGCCATAAAAAAAGACTGAAACCTTAACATTTGTAACAGCATGGATGGACCTGGCATGTATTATGCAAAGTGAGATAAGCCAGACAGTAAAAGACAAATACCATATGATGTCATTTATATGTGGAACCTAAAGAACAAAATAAATGAACAAACAAAATTAAAGCAGATGCATAGATACAGAAAACAGACTGATGGTCACCAGAGGGGTGGTCGGGTACAAGGTGGGTGAAACAGGTGAAGGAATTAATAAGTACAAATTGGTAGTTGCAGAATAGTCACAGAAATGCAAAGTGCAGCACAATAAAGATAGTCAATAACATCGTACTAACTATGTTTGGTGCTGGGTGAGCACTGGAACTATCAGGGGAACACTTCCTAAAGTATGTGATTGTCTAACCACTATGCTGTACACCTGAAATGAATACAAAATAATATTGAATGTAAACTGTAATTGAAAAATACTATTTAAATTTTAAAAATAATAAAAAGAAAATGTTTGGGGTTTGGATTAATGAATTGGGCCTGAAGGCAGAATTGTATTCAATTCCATTCTCTTCTCATAGGCAGGGGACCTGAGCAAGCCTGTGAAGTGAGTGTGGTCAATGGGAAGGATTTGTCACAGTCCACAACTCCTTTCACGTACACCATGTCACTGACTCCGCTCATCATCAAAATAGCTCCCGAGAGAGGCAGTACAGCAGGGGGCACCAGACTTACAGTCATGGGATCAGGCTTCAGGTACTGTCTTCACTGCACAAACATCAACGCCTGTTCCCAGACTCAAGCCACTCTGCCCACTTCCTCATAGGCCAGGACAGTGCTTAAATACAGTCAAGTAATGTGTTCCCATCGGCTCAAGAGTCATGCTTGAGGCACATCATGGTCCTAAAAGCTAACATTTACTGAGTACTTCATCTGTGCCAGGCACCTTCTACCCCATTGAAACTTCCTGCCTTGTTAGATATTTTATCCCATCTGTGGCTAAGAGACTAAGATTACAAAGGTTAAATAATTTGCCTCAAATCCTAGTAAGGTCACAAGGATAAATCACGTTCTTGCACTTTCCCCAGAACCTCATGCCCAACCATGATCAGCTTCCATGAAACATCGCTTCATGCATCAGGACCTTTTCATTGTAACGGGCCAGATTCTCTTTTCCTAAAAGATATTCATTGTTTAGCACAAATGTATGTCCTGCTTCATCATTTAAGTGAATAAGGCTGACTTCAAAATGCCAGCTCCTTCAGATCACAGAAGGCAATTTTACCTGGAGATGACGTTCTGAGGTCTGTGAATGTGGTGAAAATGTCACATAGACAAAATGATCCCTGAACATCTCTAACAAGGCGCCTGCTTAGAGGCCCACATAGAATCTCTCAATAACTTGAACCCAGGCAGTTTTTTCTCCAGCACTAGAATATCTGCTAGGTTGCACAGTTATAAATCCTCACCTTTTTGGTGTGTGTTTTTCCTTTTTTTCTGAAAAAATATTTTGAAGTCTTACTACTGAAAAATGTTTCAATCTGTACTTTGATGGATCATAGGGTGAGGTCATTATTTTCTCAATAATGCGTATGTGACCTAGAAATTTGAAAAAAAAATCAATATTTTATGTCCTCCCGGCCCCTTTTTTCTTTACAGTGAAAATACACCGGATGTTCGTGTCACCATAGCTGAAACCAAATGTGATGTTGAGTATTCCAACGAGACATGTGTCATCTGCATGACAAATGCCCACACTCCTTCAGGGTGGGCTCCCGTGCGCATCACCGTGGGAAGCATGGGGATGGCCAAACGGGTGAGAATGCAGCTGGGTGTTGTAACCACAGCGATAGAAAAACTAGCCTGTGGGATGTGAGGTGATTGGCAATGAACGTTTTACTTTGTTAATGTCTCCCAAACAGAACTGAGCTATGGCTATCGTATGGTTATGTGTTTTTGGTTTTTTGCTTATTACTAAAATTTTATTATTTCTGATTTTTTTATTATTTAATTTAATTGTGGGGTAATCAGTAATGATTTTTGTTACTTTATTATTACTGTGAAATCAACCAATAGGCAACTATGAAATACTTAAAGCAGGTTATACTTATTATTAATGAAAATGTTTATCATT